GAACCCTAGAAGGAGCAGACAGCTGGGAGCTGGCCTCCCCCAGGAGGAGCCTTCAGAGCCATGTTGGAACATCTTCCCAAATGTATACTCAATCGGATTTTTGAGACTCATGTGATTTGTACGCTTGGGGTTTGTTTGTCCCTGACCCGACACCATGCTCCAAGGGTAGGCAGAAATGGTCAAGGGTAGTTGTTCCATCCTCAGTCTCCAGCAGTTTTCTCTGTGAGTACAATAAGGTGGTGTTAGATCTGGTTCTTCTAACCAGGATTAAAGACCACTGTGTCCATTGGTAGAATCCAGAGTCCACCTGCTGCTCTGACAAATGGGAAACTATGGCAGGGTGGGTGAACAGTGCCAGGCTCTGCCCTCAAATGCCTGAGATTTTGGCCTGTCCCTTCTCCTGGCCTCATCAGTCTCCTCAGCTGAAATTGAAGTGGTGGTAGCAGTTGAGTCCTAGAGTATTTCCCACCCCCAAACTTGGACAGCTTCCAGCGACTCCCAGATGGGGCGCAACAAGGAAGGATTAATTAAGCCTCAGTTTTTAAAGAAAATGCATTTTGACTCACATGAAGGTGTGACCTTTTCAGAGCAGACCCCACAGGGAGGCCTGCTGATGTTCCACACGGCTGCCATTTCTTCATGTTCCTTCCAGATCTTCAGCTGTGGCTTCAGAGCTGATGAAAACCAGCCTTGTCCCTTCCTTGTCCCAGCGTGGAGTCCTGGGGCAAGAGCTGAGGAGTTTTGGGTTGTGCCCTGGTTAGGAGAGCCGAGTTGGGCCCTAAACAGTAGGGCTGCGAAGGGGGAGTAAGCTGTGCTCTCAGCTCCGAGTGACGCTCATGGACTAGTAAGAGAGGGTGACAGGACAGTGAGTGTGCTGGGGAGGAAGNGAGTGACGCTCATGGACTAGTAAGAGAGGGTGACAGGACAGTGAGTGTGCTGGGGAGGAAGGGGCCCCTGGGAGCAGGGCTGTAGGCTCTACCCGCCCTGGCATGTGGGTAATCCTGGAGGAGGGGAGCAGTGAGTGGGATGTGCAGAAGCAGCCATGCCTCGCTGTGGGGCAGGTGCAGGAACCGTGGCTCTGTTCAGCTGCGCCTGGTGGGGGACAGGCTCTCTCCATTCTCTGGTGACAGTTGGTGCCTGTCTGAAAGCCATACTGGGGGTGGAAACACACAGGGTGGTGGCTGGGAGGCCCCTGGCCCTGGCCTCTCGGCTCTTCTACCTGCTCTCCCTACTGCCTTCCCGTTGCCCTCCCCTGTGCTTGGGGTCTACTTTGCTGCCTCTGTGCCTGGGCAGAGAGTGGCACCTGTCACTGGGCTCTCCAGGTGGTCCTGGTGCTCAGGACCACTGTGAACAAAAATAGCCAAGCCCCAGGGCTTAGTGCACACAGCAGGGCTTGAGTTTGTTTTTTTGTTTGTTTGTTTAATTGAATCAAAATTGATTATACATATTTTGGGAGTTCAACATTGAGATATGTTGATCAAAT